TACTCCAAGTGAGGTCTCACGAGAGCAGAGTAGAGGGGCAGGATCACCTCCTTCGACCTGATGGTCATGCTCCTTTTGATGCAGCCCAGGGTACGGTTGGCTTTCTGGGCTGCAAGCGCACACTGAAGCCGGCTCATGTTCATTTTCTCATCAACCAGCACCCCCAAGTCCTTCTCCGCAGGGCTGCTCTGAATCTCTTTTCTGCCCAGCCTGCAGCTGTGCCTGGGATTGCTGCGACCTGGGTGTAGGAGCTAGCACTTGGCATGGTTAAACTTCAAGAGGCTGGCATTAGCCCACCTCACAAGCAAGTCAAGGTCCCTCTGGATGGCATTCCCTCCCTCCAGTGTATCAACTGAATCACACAGCTTGGTGTCATCAGCAGACTTGCTGAGGGTGAACTCAATCCCGCTGTCCATGTCAGTGACGAAGATGTTAAACAAGACCGGTCCCAACACTGATCCTTGAGGGACACCACTCGTTACTGGTCTCCAGCTGGACATTGAGCCATTGACCACAACTCTTTGTGTGTGGCCATCCAGATAGTTCTTTATCCACCGAGTGGTCCATTCATCAAATTCATGCCTCTCTAATTTAGAGACAAGAATGTTGTGTGGGACAGTGTCGAACGCTTTACACAAATCCAGGTAGATGACATCAACTGCTCTACCCCTGTCCATCAGTTCTGTAGCCCCATCATAGAAGGCCACCAAATTGGTCAGGCAGGATTTTCCCTTGGTGAAGGCTAAACAGTGAGCTGAGGAGACAAATGAGGGACTCTTTGCCGTTGCTTCCTTTGGCAGAGCAGAGAATCTGGCCCTGCAATATTTAAGTGGAGGTGGCATCACGCAGCCTCTCATGGTCAGGCTTCTGCTTCTGGGGGGCAGCAGCATCCCCAAAAGGGGACATGAACATTAGCATGTGCTACAGGGGACACCCTGCCTACGTTGCACTAAACCTGAGCACTCCCAGTCACCAAAGCCAGTCAGCTCAGCAAATGGGCACACTCAGCCCGAGGGCACATGTTAGTGTGACAGGGAAGGAAGCCTGAAGTTGAGAGTGAGCTCAAAACCTTGCTTAACTAGTAGGATGGATGACCAATGGTAAATCTCTGGCATGGTACCAGTTTTGGTGCTTATAGAAATTAGGACTGGTAATGCATATAGTTCTTTCTGAAATGAATTTGAGACACCAGATGCCAAAGGAAGCTTGCCATCACTGCAAGAAGCATTTTTTTTCTCCCAATTTATCATCAAGAAAAGCATTTTTCTTTTTAATGTTAAGTGGGACCCCTCCTAAAGTTTTGGGGGTTTTTTTGGTGTTTACTAATGGTGATGTCCATTGGTCCACCAATACTGGCTACTGGAAACATCCTCCTCACTAATGCTTTGGCAATGTCACCTTCTTATTACAGGCACAGTTGCTTCTTCTGAAGCACAAATCTTACAAGCCCTATCATCTAGCTCCATCATTGGAAGTGATTGGAAGGCAAGTCTAGACTTTTAAAAACAGGCTTATAAGTGTAGACTGGTGATGATGAAATACAAGCCAAAGCCATCTTCCAGTCTGAGGCACTCTATTTTTACATGTAATTGTCCCCAAACACTGCTGCTATGTAAAACTGTGAAGTGTTGATAGTTAAAAGTAGCTGATAAAAAGTCCAAATCCTCCTCCATTAACTACTTCTAAGTCTCTCTTTGGATCTCACCCTTGTCATGGCTTCTGTAAAATATCAGAAAACACTTAGGCAACCCATGTACTGTATCTACTGCCTCTTCTAATTCACCCTGTAATTCACCTGCTCCTGCTTGCTCCAGTCAAGGTAGCTGCTGGGACGTAAGCTCTTATGAGTGGGAATCACTGTTTCGGTGCACACCTGCACGCTGCTCAGCACAACAGGATCTCATCCCGACATGTTAATGTGAGATGGACACTAGTGGGAATCACTGTTTCGGTGCACACCTGCACGCTGCTCAGCACAGCAGGATCTCATCCCGACATGTTAATGTGAGATGGACACTAGAAACAGCAAACTCGGGGTATTTCTTGCTGAGAAAAAAAGAACGTCTGTCGGATTTTATTTTGGAAGTGCATGCCACTATGCTGTATGTCATCAATGTAGGAACTTAATTGACAGAAGGATGGATTGATCTAACGGTAATACAGACAAAGACACCAGTCCATATATAAATCACTTCCAAAACCTCTAAAATATACAAATATATTGCTGGAGGGAAATTCTCTGCTATACAACTGGGCAATTGTTCTTAGCTGGAATAGTTTCCATTTTAATTTTATATATTTTAACTTTTTCACTATTTTACTTGTAAATTATTATTAGTCAAACTGCGTGAAAACACAGAACACAGCAAGAATAATAGAACACCAGAAAAGTGTCAGAATATCAGAAAAGTATGTTACAGATAATAAAAGTGGATAGGGAACAGAATGTTTTCCAGACTGAGCAAAATGTTGTCTTTGGTATGTCTGAGCTACTCAGATCTGAATGCCACCAAATGTTGCTGGGACTTAGCTCTAAAAGCTTACTTTAGGCCATTTCTAATTTCTTGGTTTTTTTTAGGGTGACAAAATTTGTCACCGATTGTCGGAGCAATCCCAGGCACAGCTGCAGGCTGGGCAGAAAAGAGATTCAGAGCAGCCCTGCGGAGAAGGACTTGGGGGTGCTGGTCGATGAGAAAATGAACATGAGCCAGCTTCAGTGTGAGCTTGCAGCCCAGAAAGCGAACCGTATCCTGGGCTGCATCAAGAGGAGCATGACCATGAGGTCGAAGGAGGTGATCCTGCCCCTCTATTCTGCTCTCGTGAGACCTCACTTGGAGTATTGTGTACAGTTCTGGTGTCCTCAACATAAAAAGGACATGGAACTGTTTGGAACAAGTCCAGAGGAGGGCCACGAGAATGATCAGGGGACTGGAGCACCTCCCATATGAAGATAGTCTGAGAAAGTTGGGGCTGTTCATCCTGGAGAAGAGAAGGCTGTGTGGAGACCTCATAGCAGCCTTCCAGTATCTGAAGGGGGCCTATAGGGGTGCTGGGGAGGGCCTCTTCATTAGGGACTGTAGTGATAGGACAAGGGGTAATGGGTTAAAACTTAAACAGGGGAAGTTTAGATTGGATATAAGGAGGAAATTCTTTCCTGTTAGGGGGGTGAGGCACTGGAATAGGTTGTCTAGGGAGGTTGTGAATGCTCCATCCCTGGCAGTGTTCAAGGCCAGGTTGGATGAGGCCTTGGGTAATATGGTTTAGAGCAAGGTGTCCCTGCCCATGGCAGGGGGGTTGGAACTCGATGATCTTAAGGTCCTTTCCACCCTAGCTATTCTATGATTCTATGATTTGCAGACACAGCTTCTCAGCATGAACAGTATGCATGGAAAAATTTATGTTAAGGTGAAGGATTTCTGCAAATCTCATTTGTTGTAAAGTAGAATACTTATTGACATGAGAGTTCAACTGTATGTGAGGTTCACTGTACAGCTATTAAAATACCATGTAGCATTAGATTAATGTAAAGATTCATGTGTAAGAAATCCAACCGCCACCTGTGGCTTCTATGTCACTGCTGCTATTATTCATGAGCTTTAGGCTGCACATCGATCACCTCTGTTCTTCACTCACTATTGGAGCAGTTGAACACAGGAGAGAACAGAAATCATGGCAGCTACCCCCCCGTGAAAAAAATCAAAAGGAGCTTTTCCATTTTTTTTAATACTAAATGAGAAATTTGAATGAAAAAAAGGGTAGTTCCCGACTTACCTGCTCTCACTGGTACACAGGTCAGTGCAATAGTAATAAAAAATATATAAAAATGAAAAAATTTTAAATCTATAAATTTAAGAGCATTAAAAACATTAATAAAGTATAAAATATGATTAACATTTTAATCATAATTATTTTTCTTGACTCTCATTTTAATATGACACGGATTTTCTGCATCTTTTACAGAAATACAACATATACGGAAATTGGGAATTTTAAAATGAAAATCCTCTTAGTGAGGTACTGAAATCAGATCATGATGCTGATGCTTTTTAATGGGATTCTAGAACTTATTCAAGTTAGATTTTATTTTAATGCATTGGATATTAACTGTGAAGTGTAATTACATAATATTAAAATGTAATAAAATTGTTTCCACACTCATACCACAAAGCCTGACTGTTAAAAATCAGAACACAAGGCTTGTAGGAATATCCTGCACTTAAGCTGCATCAGCAGCATAACTTCTTTTGCAATGAGTAAGTCTGAAGAAATTTTTCACTTAAGCCTTTTAAAAACCCTTCACAAACGCCATCTGGTTATGGCCATTAGCTATGGGAAGAGATTGAAAGGAGTGGCTTTACAGAAATATGAGTAAGACACCATAGCACAAGGCAAAAAAGAAAAAGGACGTTCAAACTGTACTGTGTAGTAGTCATTTTCCATAGTAAATGCATATATCTGGGAAACAAGTCATAAAATGAGAAACCACCATCGTTGGAAACCATTTTTAAATCTCATAAACCCCCCAGTGTTGCTTTTTTACAAATAAGGGAAATTCATCATATAATTGAGTTAGGAAGGTGCAAATCTGCTAAAATATAGGCTCCTGTTAAAGAAATTAAATAAGAATACAGTGAAAATGACAATATTGTTTACCATGGAAATAATATTTGCACAAGCCAGGACAAAACAACATCTTCTAAAACAACTGAGCAGCAATAGTAATGTCGCTCTATGTTTCTAATATTTATGCCCAATGTATTTATAATAATCTTTTCCAAGGTTTGTGAGAAATAAATCTAATCTCCCCCTTTTTTTCAATCTACACATGGTATATGTGCTAACTTACTGAATTCATCCTTCATGCAATTCCAGTTTATTAAAGAGGTTAAAAATTTATAAAACTCTGATGGGATATGGTTTTAATGCTTCATCACACTACCCATCATTTGCTTTTCAATCTAGATCAGAATGATCTTTCCGACTTCCCTGCAATCACCTACCTGCACAGCTAATATTTTCTGAGCGTTCTCCTGAGAGGCTGCCTGGATTCTCGCCAGCCCAGCCTGGTTGGAGAGGCCGTGCTGCCTCCGCTGTGCTGCCAGCACCCCGCACAGCCGCTTCTGCAGTGCCCAAACCTGGGACAGCAATGCCAGTGATGCCAGTGGGGGGTCAAGGCAAGGAGAAGAGGCAAGAAGGTGAAAGGGAGGAAGGGGAAAAGAAAAAAAAAAAAAAACCCAAGGAAAAAAGAATTAAATTCCCAAGTCAGAGTAGGAGAGGAAATTAATGGCAGCGTTCAAGAAGAATGATGGAGGGAAATATAGAAAGCAGTCAATAGCCCATTCTGCGCTGTACGGGCCTGACAGGAATTTCACAGTCTCTTGGTTTTTCAGCCCACTCATGCGCATTCATCAGAAACCAGTCACATCTGGCTGCCAGGATGGGGGGTTAATTTTCTCTAAATGCCTCAGCAGTTTTGTTCTAGCTGAGGCAAACTCTGTGACTGCAAAGCTGATGAGTAAAATATTTCTACTTCACCCAGTTTAACTCAAAACCGATAGCCTCGGGACATATTGAACCTTTCTTAAAAAAATAATCTTTTGAAGCGTTTTGAATGGCACATCAGGTCAGGCCAAAGTTTAAAATGCAAGTTTAAGACTTTGATGGACATAAGAGCTTTTTTTTTTCCCTGTGTAAAGCTTATCATAGCTTGGCAATGTGTGCTTTAGTGCATGACAAAACTAAAGAGAATTAACTTAGCCATCAACTGCTCAGGGAGAACAATAACAGGAAAGAAATTTCCATATAGAAGTTCCTATTAATCTACCCAGCTATAACCATATGACATGAAAGCATCTAACAGCACTAAATTGTACTGAATGCGGCAGCTGAGAGTGACACTACTTAAAAAAAAAAAAAAAAAAGGATTTTATATAGACTTATAGAAAAGATAACACTTTTCTAGGAGCTGCACTTGGTGCAAAGGATCCTAACTGAAATGACTCCAAGGGGAAGTGCAGGAGTGCTTACCTGATAGGCTTTTGCTATTTGCTAATAGTAATTATTGTTAAAATCTACAGTTAAGACTGTTATCAGTTTTTCCTTAATCTGCAAGTACTTGGAACATATAAACATGGTGTGGCAGGTCTCGCTCTAGAAGAAAAATGTTTTAATGAGATCTGAAAATCTACCAACACAGAATGTCTTTGAAAACAGCTCTGGCGTTTGGGAAATTCTGCAGTCATTGCAGCATACTCTAGACAAGTTTTAATTTAGAAAATTTAACTTTAAGCCACTGAAATCATTGCTTAGTGGGAACACATTGGCTTGTGTTTGATCAAATAATAATTTCGATAAATTCTATATCTATTGTTAGCATGAGGCCTTCAAGAATATGCCTGTCAACCAGATTAATACAATGGATTATACCATGCCTTTCGAAATATTACATTCCATTAAGGTCAATGCCACAGGTCAATTATCGGATCAGTTATAAAGAACCTTTTACATGATAAGATATGACTGTTCTTTGGAAGCAAGCGCAGTGTACCAGGTGAAAAATACTCTTTTTCAAAAGAATGTACATTATAGTAATACCAAGTGAGCTATTACAACCCAGAGAGTAATTAATGCACATTTTCAAAATTAATGGCCTGATTTTCAAAGATACTGAGTTTCCACAAGTCCCATTAGGTTCTATGGAAGCTGTGAGTACTCTGCATCTTTGTAAAGGAGGCTGCAAAATATTAAAACAGATCTTTATGCTTTTTTTTTTTGAGACCTGCCAGTGTATATATGTGTAAATAACATGTAAATATTTACACATAAATGTATGTGCAAATAACAGTGTAAATAACATGAGAGAAGGCAGACAAATTCAATGGAAAAGTATAAAAATATCTATATGAATCACAGCCAAAACCTGAACCCAAAATAAGAATACGTTTTCCAGCTTGGAGAGCCTCTTCTAAATACCTCTATTCCTTTCTTCCTGTTTTAAGAATTAGTTTCCTGAAATCTATCTCATTCTGTACTTCTGCTGTTATTTCAACTATTTTCAGATCTCATGTTACTTGATACTATTCTGGAGCCTGAAAAAGAATGCAGGTTAGAGAGGAACAACTTATGACATCTTAATAGAAAAATTTGTTTCAGCCCTAGAAAAATTAATTAAGTAGAAAACTACTTCTGGATTATCAAACCTCTCATTTTTGTAAAAAGATGAAATAATTTCACACTATCTATTTTGACATGATGAAGAAAATGGTGGTTGGGGGAGCTCAAAGGGTCTGTAAGTGAAAGGTGACATTAAGTGAAAAGAATCAATGGGTATCCAGTTCAACACTACCCAACCTTTCGTCTTGCAAAAATCAAGACATTCAAAACTTTTGAGGTTTGGCTATTTGCAGAGTTGTATATTTATTGAGAATAATTTGACGGTTTGTATATTTATTGAGAAAAATTGACAATGTATAGTGGCTGCTGTCCAATACAACTTTCACTACTGTTTCCCATTTCAAAATTACAAGTCTGTGATAGCTGTTACTATTGTAAATATCCCTGCATCTAATGTATCTCATATTTCGATTACATTTTATTGTGCCTAGCATAGTGGAGCCTAAACCCAATATTTATTAATTTTACAATATGGGTTGCTACATAAATAACATTTATGCATACACTTGGAAATATATGTCTGTGAGAAAGTTACAAATTGATCAAATAACTTTACTGGCTTAGAATAAATTAATGGACTAACTAAACTAGGAGGGGTCATGCAATCTCCTAGGTTGGATGCAGGTCCCTAGCTGAGAGAACAATTCAAAATACAAAAATCCCAATTAACCTAGCTAAAACACACTTCTAGCCCAGAAGGAGCCTGTAGATTTAGTAAGTTTGCCATGATCTCCCTGTCCCTCCAGGCACCAATACTGTGCCCTTAGACCCTCTTCTAGCTCATATATATTTTTATCACATGTAGAGCCTTAAGAAGATACGTCATGCTCGAGCTGCATACACAACATTATTGCTAACTCCATTTTTTATCGCTTTTTTTCACTAATTGAGAAAGAAGCTGTTGCTTAAGTATGATCAACACACCAAGCCAAGTGCTGACAGTGCAGTTAACAGCATTTCCAGTGGTCAAGATATAAGAATATGTACAGTAGCCAAATATTTGCATGAACTTCACTTTGGTTTTGCAATTTACTTTTCTGTGAGAGCAGGACTGAAGGAAAATGGTGTGTCTCACCTCTGTGCCTGGCAAGATCATGGAGCATATTCTCCTGAAAACCATGCTAGGGCACATGAAAAACAACAAGGTGGTTGGTGACCACCATGGTTTGAGTCATCATGGTTTCACCAAGGACAAATCATGCCTGATTGATATGGTGGCCTTCTGTGATGGTGCTACACAACCAATAGGGGCAGAGCAGTTGATGTCTACCTGGCCTTGGGCATCATGGTCTCCCGTGAAGTAGCACTGCCCATGGAAGGGGGGCTGGAACTAGATGATCTTAAGGTCCTTTGCAACCCAAACCATTCTATGATCCTAGGACAAAGGAAAACAAACAAACAAAACCCACAAGCAAACAGAAACAATCTCCAGATTTTGAGTATTTGAGACAACAGGAGGAAAAGAAGCTCCAGGATCTTTGCTTATGTCATTTTTGTACCTGCCGTGGAGGCAGCTGATACAGGTCCGCTGCTAGTTCCCACAAAAAGACCTACAATTAAAGGGACTGTATGGGTTTCTGCAGCATCAAAACAAAATTCATTCTGCAAGGAGGAGCAATAGCTTCCAAAGAGGTGTCAGGAGTCTTTTTTACCGGTAGGGGACAATTTTTGCAGCAAGTGAATTCCCTCAGTCCTCATCCTACAAACAAGGAGATGGTGACCCAATGGCTTTGCTGGAGAGGCACCTTTGTGAGCTGCTGGGGAGAATGAATGATGCTGTCAAGGAGTTGCCCTTGCCATTCTTCTGGTTTGGGGCTTCACCGTCATTCTCCTTCACTTGTGTTGTGGCTCCCCTCTGTGCCTCACAGCAGAGGGGAACATATGGCTCTATGTTTGTTTAATTCCTTATTTATATGTGGTACTAATACCATCAATAATATCAGTGTAAATTTGGAAAAGGAGGTGTGAACAAGCTGCTGTTTCTGTCTTACTAGAGATGAAACTTATGATTTGGGGTACCTTATTGTGTTCTCCCTTTAACGAATTTTTTTTTCTGATAAATCAAGATACTTTATTAAGTTCATGTTTCATTTTTCAGTAACTTGATTGAAATTAAGCTAATATTTCAATCTGTATTTTCTTATTTGAGGGATCAATCTGGAATAAAAAGAATGTGATTGATAGTATTTAAAGCAGTGGCCTACCCAAGCCTAAATCATTATGGATGATGGACAGGGTAGAGCAGTTGATGTCATCTACCTGGACTTGTGCAAAGTGTTCGACACTGTCCCACACGACATCCTTGTCTCTAAATTGGAGAGACATCAATTTGATGGATGGACCACTCGGTGGATAAAGAACTGGCTGGATGGCCGCACACAAAGAGTTGTGGTCAATGGCTCAATGTCCGGCTGGAGATCTGTAACGAGTGGTGTCCCTCAAGGATCGGTGTTGGGACCGGTCTTGTTTAACATCTTTGTCGCTGACATGGACAGTGGGATTGAGTTCACCCTCAGCAAGTTTGCCGATACCACCAAGCTGTGTGGTTCGGTTGATATGCTGGAGGGAAGGAATACCATCCAGAGGGACCTTGACATGCTTGTGAGGTGGGCTGATGCCAACCTTATGAAGTTTAACCATGCCAAGTGCAAGGTCCTACACCTGGGTTGGAGCAATCCCAGACACAGCTGCAGGTTGGGCAGAGAAGAGATTCAGAGCAGCCCTGCGGAGAAGGACTTGGGGGTGCTGGTCGATGAGAAAATGAACATGAGCTGGCAGTCTGTACTCGCAGCCCAGAAAGCCAACCGTATCCTGGGCTGCATCAAAAGGAGCGTGACCAGCAGGTTAAAGGAGGTGATCCTGCCCTTTTATTCTGCTCTCGTGAGACCTCAGTTGGAGTATTGTGTGCAGTTCTGGTGTCCTCAACATAAAAATGACATGGAACTGTTGGAACAAGTCCAGA